ACTACTACTACTACTGCTACGACTACGACTACGACTACGACTACGACTACGACTACTACTACGACTACGACTACGACTACGACTACTACTCCTACTACTGCTACCACCTACTACTACTACCACTACTACTACGACTTCGACTACGACTACGACTACGACGACGACGACTACGACGACTACTACTACTACTCCTACTGCTATTGCTACTGCTACTGCTACTACGACTACGACTACGACTACAACAACGACTACAGCGGCGACTACAACGGCGACTACTACCACTACTACTACTACTACTCCTACTGCTATACTGCTATACTGTAATACTGCTATACTGCTTTACTGCTACTACTGCTACGACTACTACCACCTCCCCCAACAACAACAACAACTACTACTACTACTACTGCTACTAATTACTGTCCTTTCCCCATTTTCTGTTTCTTCGCTGTGAATATGTTTCCTTTTCATGTTTATCCCTCTGGAATATGTTTTTTGATGTTGATCTTTTTTTGGTTGATCCCTCCTTTCTCTGTGTGGAACGCAAATACCACAGCGAGGAAGTTTTAGCCAAGTAGATGGCGCACCATGGAGCAACCAAACACAAGTTTTTTGCTAAGTAGATGGCGCATCGTTTTTGGCACTGACAAATCCTGCCGCCACAATAGCATTTTTTTCGGTGTGGCCTGAAATTCATTTTCGTGTGAGTATATGTAGATGGCACTCTCTTCCAAATTGCACATGCGCAAAGCACTCACCCCACCTCTTAGTTGTTTCCAAGCAGTCGGCAACCGAAAAGATTGCAGCACCTTGCAGTGACGAATGTCATCCAAACGGCCGCGCCTGTTGCACCTGCTTTAATACCAACATGCCAGCACCTGCACTTTGATGCCGAAGTCATCTCGCTTTCCTTCTTTTGGATGGCGGTGTGGCGGCCTCTGCGGCCTCAGCCTGAGTGAAACCGAAATGGAAGCAAAGCAATAACGCAACCGATATCACAAAAAGGAAAGCATTGGAAACCTGGCTGAAACAAAACACTCAGAAATCATAAATACCTTACAGAACAGCAAAAACAAGGACAAAAATCTCCAAAGATCTCCAAGCACGCGCCGGGTGATTTCTGGCGTTCGGACTCTTGTGCCACCATATTTGGCCTGGGTTGGAACAATTCCCCTGCCTCCTGTTTCTCAAACTTTAGCATCAGAGTACAGAGAGTGAAAGCTTAACTATGGCGTCGGGCTGCCGATCTGCTTGTTGGGAGTGTGTGCAAATTGAAGCCACGAGTCTATATACTACCGAAAAACGAGATAGGAGTTGTGAAAGTATGGTGGGAAACAAGAATCCTATGTCATCATGCAATAGCCTATACGCCACAACTCCTATCTCATCAGGTCAAAGCATACAAAAATGACCCTGGCACACACAATTATGTTCACACATAAATGTTTGAGATGTCATGGTTTGAGGAGGTTTTTGACATGAAACCACACATGACCTAGGAGTATTGCACCAATATAGCGTGTGGCAACTAGGAGATGAGATAGGAAAGCGTTTGTGCAAATTCCAGGGTGCCTACTTCCTATGTCATCTTGACCAAGGTTCGACAGATGCACGCATCACTTCAGAATTTAGAATTTTATCGACAGCCCCATGGCCTCATGGCAAAAAGCAATAAATCTATTTGAGCTTGGGTGGCAAGAAGCCACATGACATAGGTCAGGCGGTGGGAAAAACTTAGGGAGCGCGCCTAAGTCCTGAAGCTTAAAGCAGTCATATTTTCCCTATGGGAACGGTATTTATACATATGTTTTTTTGAAGTCGTGTGCTGGCAGAGCGTCCACAACTCCTATGTCATCCTGCTGTGTACTACACTTGGCAACCTTGTCTACTGATTGATGACTTAGACGTTGTGGCCCCCAACTCCTATCTCATTAGTCCCGCAAATTCCTATGTCATCAGCCCTGAGTAGATAATATATCTGCAAATATCAGACCTAAATAGATCTGCTTGCGGCAAAGGTATGTAAGGTATGTGGGGCGTTCCGGAACCTGTTCTCACTCACATATCCCGATAATGAGCTCTGCTGCTAAGATCTAGTTGCAGATGTTGCAGCCTACAAACAACTCAAGCGCACACGTCTGATATCTGTGCCTGTCATCTTGATTCTAGATGCTACTTCTAATCGGCATACTCTCACTGGGCTCCGTGGTTCGAACTCGTGGGGCTGGCATTTCATTTCACTCTATCACTATATATATGTCCATCTCCAAGATTCCAATCGTCCTCCAACTTTCAACGTTCAAACAACGATCTTCAGGTGCTATTCTATCCGCACCATCACTCGGCGCGCCCCGGTTTCACACAATATGCGATTGACCCTGATGAGGAACCATGTGAATGCACAAGGGACTTGGTTCCTGGATCATATGATCAGCCATCAGAGTTTACACACCTGCCAGCTGAGATCACTGCAACAAAGGCCGGCACATTGAACTTCCGCCTTGGCACAAAGCTTTGTAAAAGCTTGGATACTGTGATCATTCAAGCAAAATCCTTTTTGCACGCATATTTCGGGTTTGTGATGCAATCCGCTCAGCAACTTTCTCTGCATCCTAGCCAGAAATGCTTGGGAGCACCAGAAGTGGCCTCCGGCAGGAAAGGAACTTTGCACGACCTGTAGACTTATATGTATATATATATATATGTTACTGGATGCAACCACACTCCTCTTGATGCGAGTGTCTCCATCAAAGGTGGTTTGGTTTTTCAACATTTCATCTGCAGAAACTTCGCTCACCTTGCCCAGCTGGGGCAAGGAGATCCTGGCAGCTTGAAGAGCCAAATCCCATCTGCTAGCGCCTTGGTGGTTACCAAATTGTGTTCAAGAAAGACATCTAGCATCTAGCAGAATCTTGCACCCAAGAACTGTATACAACATGACTTTTCCGGCCAATCTCATATCAACCCTGTTTGTGACTAGAACAATACAGTTCAATACAGCCAGCCATCGCGTCGGTTTGTCCAGTTTAAACCAAACTGCTCAAATCTGCTCAGAGACCCATCGCCTAAGGTCTATTTGCAGTAACTCTAAAGGTCTAATTACTAAAAGCATCTTAAAGCTACCGATTTCTATCCGATTTTCTGTTCTTGCGAGTTTTCTTACAAGTTCGGAGTGTGTTTGACAAAACAGTTGCCGGAGTCTTGAAATCCACTGACTTCTGGTTTAATCATGAAATTCTTAATCTATGCTGCAGGGGTACTGACTTCCTCACTGAATTTTAGCGTGAAATCGCAGTCATGCATGAATTCAACTACTGTAGGTCAAAGTCCTTCCTTCTAAATGTCCCTTCTCTTCTTTGCTTTCCTCTTCTCTTCTGAAGACTTGTTTGGTGTAATACAGGTGCGCCGGATCCGGCTTTCTTGTGCGCATTTTGCACACAGTTGACGGAACACATATTTTGCCTTGTAATTTGCCGTGCGGTTGGCACTTATGCTCCGAAACTCGAATATTTGATATGTCTTTCTTTCTTTGTGTTTCCTTTTCTCTCCTCTTCCTGTTGTTGGTTCCCTCTCTTGCCAAAAGTGGCATTTTAGGTTCTAATAAAGGTTTTGAACTGCTCTTTTGCTTTTTCTTTTATCTTTCTCGGTCTTCTTTCTGTGATACAGGCTTTGCAGGCTGTTGAAAAGGTTTTTCAGTCAAGGTGTGCCGGATCACGGCTTTATATGTGTTTTGGTCCCTGTTTGTGAGTGGCTAGAACAATACAGCCAGCCATTGCATTGGTTTGTCCAGATTAAACCATACATACGGTTCACCGACTTGTCGCCTTACTGTTGACCAGCCCAAGGTCTGTTTGCAATACTGTAACCCTCTGTACAGGTCTAATGCATTGCTGAAGACTACCAATTGTGCTCTTACAAGTTTTCTTCTGAGTGTGTGCGTGTGCTGCGTGCGTGTGTGCTATGACATAGTTTTGAATGTTCTGTCAAACGAGCCTGGACTGAGAAGCACTGCTGGAAAGGATAGCGGAAAAAGACTTGTCATTGTCGGAAATGTATTGCCAGCATAGCAGTCACACATGGTCAATAATTATGTCACTGTGACACCGCCTCCTCTAGTGTCTCACACCACCTCATACCGCAAGGACGCTACTAGTAGCTCCTGGCATTACTGCTAGGAACAAGAAGCTACTAGTTACAAGGGCATCGCTACTAGGAGCAAGAAGCTATTAGTAGCTCCTGGCCATACTACTAGTAACAAGTAACAAGAAGCTACTAGTAGCCCCTGTCATCGCTACTAGTAGCTCCTTTCGCCCAGAAACCGCAGCTGTGAGGCCACGAGCTCCTCCAAGTTCAGTCGCCAAGGGCGAGAAGTTTTGGTCGTTGGAGTCTTTGGAGTCCGAAGCGGAGCGAAGCTCCCCCAGAACACCATCAGCTTCGCCGGGGACCTCCAACCTGTGCTGCAATGTCTCGTTGCAAACTATGTTTGCCTTGATTTGGAACATGAGTTGAAGAACTTAGAGGAACATGCTGGAACTTCCCTTTTCAAAAGACTTCGAGTAGCAAATAGCTGTCGAAGAAGCAAGGAAGAGCGCCCAAGAGCTCATCAATGATGCTCACATCCTTAACCCAAGATTGCAGTCTAGCAGCGTCTAGCACCAAACAAAAGGTGTAAGTGTACCCCTTGCTCAGTCACAGCCGTTGAACTTTAACAAAGCTGTTCATTGCTGCCTAGTGCGGGCAAACTACGCCATGAATAGCAGGTGGCACGGGCACTCCACACATCAGAGCCAAGGTTTGAGGACCAGAGAGCCCCTGGAAGATCTGGCAATGCCCATGATACAAAAGACTCTGAATGAAAAGGAAGAAGCAGCGCTTTTCCAGCCTGAAGAGTTGATAAGAACATCTCTACAGTGTCGCGGCTATAGACACCTTAAGAGTTGGGCCACTCGCTCTGGAGGCCTTCGAAAGACACCCTTTGACTCTCGAACGTCACGGATGAGTCATCGGATAGATCGTCCTCCCTTTTTTCCACCCTCAGAAATGCTGCTCCGGTAGGGGAAGCAAGGGCACAGTTTGCAGCAAAGATAGCATCGGCTCCATCATGTCTCATCTTTGCTCTCAGGGCAGATCGGTCCTCGGCATCAAGAGACTTCTGTGACTTGATTCTAGTGACTTCAGCCTTTCCATGATGTCCCTGTAGCATTTGTGGGCAAGTCTCGCTCAAGCTGCCCCAATTCAGCGCTTGAACATGCCAGTCAGCACAGCCTGCAACTTTCTCTGTACTTCAGCTTTGGGGTCAATGATATTGAGCGTTACATGAAAAGAAACCTTTTCGGGAAACGGTGCCTTGTCAGGCTTTTGGCAGAAAGTAGTTGTCAAGAAACTTGCCTTACTTTTTTGTAATATTACAGTATATCGTTGAGGGGGGTGACTGACAGGCACCTCTCTCTCTCCTTCCGTGCTGCGCTTCGTGATGGATTGGACACGGCAGCGGGGCTCACAATTGTCAACCCAAACGGGTCAGTGTCAGCCACGCTCTCCCAACGCTGCTTCCCTTCGATATTACACATCTGAACATGCCTTCGCAGTCGTTCAGTGAGAGGTTGTATCGCAAATGTGGCAGGATCTCTGCCAAGTCTGTTGCAATCACGCTGGCTCCCATTTGAAGCAGGGCCTGAGTGTGAACACATGTCAGAAATAGAAATCAAACCAAGCTGCAGCAAGGTGAATGGATAATATCTCATTTTGACGAGGTGCACTGCTGACCAAGCCACAGCCAGAACCCAATTCCAACACTTGACAGCCATGCCAATTTTGAGGCACCTCGGCATTCCAAGAATAGACACTGCTTCTGGGGAGCCTGGTGGAAAGTGGCAACCTATATAAATAAAGTCCAGGCGTCGGCACTTTGAAAGCTAGCATTGGGTTCAAAATTTGAGAACATTAAACAAAATAGAGTCTCCTCGGGGTGAGAATGACCACGAAGAGTGATCCTGCCTGACTCTCTGTTGCAAAACTTTCAGTGCTCAGTCATGCACCTCCGCCGCCCACCTAGCCAAGTCCTCGCGATCAGCACGCATTACTCGTTGCAACATGGGGCGTGCAAAAGCAACGGCCAAACATACAGTACAACTAGAAAGTTCTCAGAGCTCTCCTGTTGCTACAGGAAGGGTCGCTCCAGCAACTACTGCTGACGCGACTATACGCTATCAAACGATTGTCTTTGTGCAAGGCTACACTCGTATATACAAACAATGCTGCTACGACTGCTAGCGATAGTGCTATTGGTTACTACTAACACGCAACCACCACAACCACGACAACAGCAAAAGAAGATTACTATGGCAGAACCAGCAGCAGAAACGGAGACAATGGCACCAGCAGCAAGAATCAACAAGTACAAAGAGAGCGCGAAGACAACGACGGCAGCAGCAGAATGACTGCTGCAACTGCAAATGCGCGGCAACGCAACCCCAATAGAAACTGCGACAACGACCGCAACAAAAGCTATTTATGTTTAAAGAATGGTGGTGTGGCTCCTCCTAGCTACTCGTTCAAAAATGCCTCAATTGTTTGGGGTGGGAATGAGGGCGTGAAGGAATGTGCATTCTCAGCTGCGAACACAACACCAGAATGTGCTCTGGCACATCATGCAAAGAATGGGGCCAACGCCTTGGAGGCACGAGTCACCACCCCACCAATGGCATTCTCCATGAAATCCTGCAAGTTGAGCAAAACATCAACGCGCGGTGTTACAGCTTGCATTATCTTGCCTTAAATTCCAACGGAAAAAGCAACATGAAGCGAAAATGAGAGGCGATTTGACAAGAGGTGAAGCAAAACGGCATAGAGTCATAGAGCGCACGGCCAGCTAGAACCTCTTTTCGTGTCTGTCGGGGAACAATGGGCGGAGCCGCAGAGCTCATTGCATGGCCAACTTGTTTATGTTCGTGTGGTGCAAGGAGCCGCATTTACTAGTACAAAAGATCAAACCGACCAAAACCAAAGATTGCATTGCCTTTCTAGATGCCTGATAGGTGCGGTCTCTACATGACTTCCCTTGGTGAAGTTCAAAAGGAAAAACTCGGTTCGAGCTCAAGCTACCTTGCATAGTCATACGGATAATACATGCAAAAAAAAAGCTAAAAAAACTAATGCCACAAACAAAAAGCTCAAGGTGCACCTCGTAGGTTCGCACAACCAGCTTTCCGAAGTGGTGCTGCTTCTCCCCAGCCTAAATTGGTGAAGCAAGCCCAAGCCCCCCTTCTCCCACCCAACAATGTGCATCAACTCGCAACAAAGACCTTCCAAGATGTGGTGAAGTAAGCAAAAAAATGAGATGTGCATAAAGTTAAGGCATACTGAGCAGCAAATTCATCAAAATCATGCTCCTGCTCCTCTCAGTAGCTTTGTTAGGCGACAGTCCATGCGTCCATGTGAGGAAAACGCTCATTGTCGGAGCCACAAAGAAGTATTGCGTGTGGATCAAAATCTCTCATGAAAGTGGATCATAAAACAATATAAAATCCCTGTCCAACTCCCCAAACTCTCAAATCTCCTGGTCAGCCATAGCGATGCCGTTTGGAAGTAGAATCTGGGAGCCATTGCATGCACGCACCGCCCGAGAAGCTGATGGAAACGTTAATGTTGAGATGCTGGGCTCATGTTTATGGATCGGGCATTGGCTCGACTCTACATAGGCCACAACAAAGAGAGACAGCAAGTTGCAAGTGGCTGCAATTTGGATGTCTGTGGTTTTGACCGGAGCCGAAAGAAATGAATTGAAGTCAGTAAGCCAGTCGCATTCGCTCAATGCCTGCTGGCGTGCTGCTGTACCAAACCTTTTGTTGCCTTGAGGTCAGCTCTTGCAGCCCGCATAGTTCATGAAACGAATCTTGCCGAAGACCTCAAGCTCTTGAGTGCCCCACATGCTCTCCACAACAAACTCCAGACTTCACGAGATTGTCACATTCGGAACATGTGGCTGAAAAAAGAATAAGGCAACGACGGGTCTTTCCTTCCATCCCATGTCATGAACCTGAATGCTGCTATAGAATGCTATATATATATGTGTGTGAAAACATCTGAAGCAAAGTGCAGGGTGTCTGCTTGCGTCTTTCCGTTGGGCGCAGCTTTAATCCGCGTCTGTTCTAAGTTGTTTCTTTCCGTGATTTGTTTCAGAATCCTGGGGCCTCACAGCTCGCTGCTATTTACAGCAGTTTGATATACAGTATATACACCCTTTACACCCTTTGGACATGCACCCTTTACACCCGCAGCTGATGTCAGCAGTTGGGGCCTCCTCCAAATTGTAGCCCGAACTGGCTCACAGAAGGTAAGCCACGTTGGAATGGCTCCCTGCTCCTAAACTTTACGCTCGGTTGGCTCACAAAAACCATGCTCGTTGGAATGGTTCCTTCCCCCTTTAGTTGTCCATCGGAATGATTCCCTTCCTAATCCAAATTTTGCTCTCAGTTGGCCCACAACAGGAATGCTACGTTGGAGTGGCTCCTTCCTCCACTATTTTCGATCCTGAGTGCAAAAGTAGAGAGTGCACTTGAAGATCTGTAATTGTTCCCGTTGTCATGGCATTAAGCAGCCGCGCCGAAAAAATTGCCTTAAGAAGTTGTAAAGGACAGGCTTGCTGTGGATGCCAGTCTAGCTGCAGCAAAGGAAGCAATAGGGAGCAATGATGAGTCAGCTTGAGAAGACGTAGCACACATTTCGTATATACAAGTTGTTGGTGCACCGGACATCAAAAACCAAATCAGTTTTCGTGGCAGGCGCTGCAAGTGGAGGAAATAATAGTGCAGATTTCGTGGCGCTGGAGGGGAGGGGTTGGGGAGGAGGGCGCAGCGCTTCCCCCTATAGCGAGCCAAACAGAACAAATACATTTAAAAAGCAACTAAAACAGAAAAGCAAAGGAGAAACAAAAGCAAAGGCCCGCACCAAAAGCACAAAACAGCAACAAAACAAACAAAAGTAAAGGCAAACACCAAAAGCACGAAAGCAAAAAAGCGGCAAAAGCAAAATGCAGATCTTGCTTTAAAAAGAAACCATTACCATATTTCAAAAAAACAAAACACACACACAACCCTTTCCGTTTGACTAGGTGGAGTACCCCGCAAATGCTCCACATACAGCCCACATAACCATTCGGATCCCTGCCTGACAAGGCAGTGCAAACAAACATACAGCTGAAACATGCTGAAATACACGACATAGATTGCACCATCTTGATTTCCATCGGGCACCATTGGTGCCGCACCATCCAGCTCATAGCGGTCATTCAATTCAATGGATCGCTGCAAAGCCTCCTTTGGAGATGGCCTGAGTCGAAGCACCTCTCTAAACACAGCAACCCCTCCGAAGGTGCACAAGATTGAGGTGAAAAAGCGGTGAACAGCTTTAGCATGCTCTAGCAAGGGCACCAAAGGGCCCAGCGACCACTCAAGGATCTTCTTGGCCTCGATTCTCAGGAAACGGAAAAAGCAGGAAAACAGGAAAGCAAAAAAGATCAAAAAAGCAACAGGAAAACAAATGCGGAGGGAAGTAAGGAAAGGTGCAGAAAAGTTCAAAAAGGTTCAAAGGGCTCCGTAGTGAAAGGGTCGACGATATTGACTGGTAGAGTGACCAGTAGCACTACCAAAAAGGTGAAGCACATCTCGATTCTGGTCTGCCCCATCTCCTTTCTCTGCTTCTTCTCGTTCTTCCCTACTTCTTGCCAAGTCTCCCAGTACATCCGCAGAAAGCCATGCATTTTTCCCTGGCGGAAGCTGGACACTCCAACTGCAAAACTTGCCTATTGTCAAACCAAGACATCTTCTCAGGCAACACGAGAAGTACGGGTACGGCCAAGCCAAAGCAAGCTGCTTGCTCAGCGCTGCTTGTTCTTAAGAGATGACAATGTGTTTGCCTTCAACGACTTCACGTTCCTTTCCGAATCCCAAAGTGGCTGAAATGCCAAACTGCCAAACACTCCATATCTGCTGGCAGCCGCTTCTCGTATTTCTCTCTCTCTCTCTCTATCTCTCTCCATTTCTCTCACCGCCAGCCTCAATCTGTGTGTCTTCGGCTTGTGAGCGCACAATGCAATAAGGAAGTTGTTTCAACTTCCCACGCTTCCACTATGGCCAAAGCATTTTCAATGCGGCCAACACTTGTGAAAAGACTGGCGGCTGATTCCAAACCCTAGGCCCTACGATCTCAAATGGCGAGCATTCTCAAGTAATGGTAGGGTCCTTCGGACAAAATCCGGGCGTACCCTACTCTGCAGCACTGGCTCCTTGCTTTCGGGAGGTGGCTTTGGCTTAGGCAGGACCAGTGGTGCAGTCTTTCCAATCATTTGCCGACGTTCGAGTTGCAGTTTTGCGCCAATCTTTACCGCACCTAAATGTCTGCGTCTCATTGATTCTGAATGCAAGTTGACGAGTTCATGCTCCAACTCCCTGATTTCCGAAAGGATCTCCCCACGCCTCTCCAGCAGCGCACGTTTGTTTTTGGCCGTCTTTGCCATCATGTTCACTTGCTCCACTTCGAGTTGTGCCCGATGGATACCACTTTGAATAATGCCCATGCTTCGATACAACTCGTTGCTCTCAAGATCTCCAAGCGGGCCTGTGCCAAATAAGCGTCGTGGCCTCGTACTGTAGGACCTGGCTTGTGATGCATCTTTGGCCTCCGCATGTTGAGGTAGAGCCGAGCTGGCCTGCCATGCAATGCTATGTGCTGAACCAGCCACACTGGAGACTCTACAAATTGATAATTTCAGCTTGCCATGCTTGCTAATGCTTGACTCTAACAGTGCCTGGAACATGCGCTGGCTAGTGCCTCAAGAGGATGAAAACTATATATAGAGCCTTGGCACCTCTTGCCTCTAGATTCCACTTGCGGAGCTATTCCTGCTGCAACCCTGACCGATGCGCGACGGCAATTTTTGACCATGGCGAAGCTAAAGGCTGCGCAAATTTGCTCTGCCTGTAGCAGAAATAGTGCATATTGCACCCACTGCTTTGGCAGTGTGGGACAGGTTTCTGCTCTAGCACTGCGGGAGTCTTCTGCGGGAATACCATGATCAAAGTCCTAGCCTCAATGGCTGCCAGGCTTGAATGAAATGATCTTTCATCGCATGCAACTTACTTATCCCAACAGTTGACTGAAATCATACCAAAGTAAGTTCAGCCATGTGACACGAATGCCTTGGAGGTCTTTATTTTGTTCTGCACCTCAGCTGGTCTCTGCTGCTTGGGAATGCGACTGCTGCAATGGTCGGTGGTTGGTTGCTTGGGCCCGGACGGCCAGGTAGTACTCGTGGCTGCCCCCAAACATCAGTCTAAGGATGTTCGAGGATTCCTGCATTTGGAACGAACGTGGTGGCTATGTGTCACCATGCAGTCTCCAAACCTTTCCCGCTCTCTGTGCCTGCAAAATTGGCACCAGTCGGGCTCCCATTTGTCTTTTGACATCTTGACTTGCCTGGACCTGTTGGCAAGTAGACTGAAGTTCAGCAATTGGCAAACTGGCGTGCGAACCTCCTTATACTTTGGGCCATGCCCAAGCATCTCCAGCAACCTATCGGCCTGGCAAGCAATTTGCCCTCAACAACTTCACCACAGCATGTGCTTTCACCGGCCTGGTGCTCCAAAGTCCACGCAAGCGTGCCGCTGGGGCCAGGAAAGTACGCCTTTATAACGACAACTGCCGTACTGCAATAGCAATGTGTCATTGAATTTGATGCTGAACAAGCTCCACGACAGAAAGGCCTTTCGTTGGTAGTCAGTTCTGAGATCAAGAAATCTCAACTCTTCCTGCCACCGTCCAGCCTACAAGGCATAGAACATTCTGAAATGTATGAGCTCTTTGCTGCTGGTTTCCTAGCGTTGCTCTGATATGTTCGGCTCTAGCCTGTTTGTTCCAATTCTCAAGGTGCTCCCATAGTCTGTCGCAGAGCCAATGCTGAGGGCCAACAACGCCGTCATTGCCCTGGAGCTTTGAATCAATGGCACCGACATTGCATCAGGGGACTATCCACATGGCCACTTAAAACTACGAACACCGGGAAATGTGATGCAGGCCCTTCACACGGCAATATTGGGAGACAAGCTGGAACCCACCCACACCTCTGGAACGCAAACCTGTCTTGTAGGGAAAACTGAAAAAAGAATATAACTAGCACAGCTTGTTGAGTAGATTCTTTGAGAAAGCCTCTGTGGCTGTGAAGGCCAGCAAACGTTTGGCATCCTGTTCTTTCAGCGCCTGCGCAAAACACTCTGGGAGCGAGGATGGAGCACATGGACATGACATGTGAACACACTCCGCGGCATGTTGTAATGTCACATCGACAGCGCCATGTTTCTCTAGGAGATGGTTAGCCGTCATATGTGCTTCGGTTTTGGATGCCTGCCTTCTGAATACTCCGCCGCTCCTCTAGAGCAGCATCCAGTTTTTTCAGTTCAGCCTCTAAACTGCAAAATCTTGTCCACAATGAGACTCTTGTCAAGCTAAATTGGTTGGCCTCCAAAGCTTCTTCTGCATCTAGCATTATCTTTGCATCGGCTGGCGTCACCTCCACGCATGAGAAGACTTGTCCTCTATGGTGCGGCACTCTTGAATCAAATGATGAATTTGCACATCGAGGTGTCTCCAGCTTGATCCAAGATGGACAGAGATTGGGAGACAACTTGGTGACCACTCTTGTGCCCCCAAGCCACGCGCACAAATTTACGTGGAAAGCTGGGAGACAAAGTGGGAGACTAAGGAAGGCAAAGTTGAAACGGTGCGTCCATGGGTCCAGAAGTTTATACTGCCGAACCATTCACAGACCCTATGGCAGCGTGATAGAAATCAGGGCTCACGGACTCACCGATGCAGACAGCGCGAAGCGTTGCATCAAGAAGAGCTGGACTCATTGACCCGGAGCCAGTCGCAATGCCAATCGCAAGTGATATGCAACATTGGCTCAACCGCAATGGTGCGTTCGAAAAGAGACACGCTTTGGGAGAAAGGTGTGAGACAAAGCCTAGTGGCGAGAGGCAAGCGGGAGAATGGTGCGAGAAAGCCAGAATGGTGAGTAACAGAGCGCCAAATAGCTAAAGAGATAGGCTGAGGTTGTGGGAGAACAGTCTGCCAATAAGATGCATCCCAAGTGAGAGAGAAGCTAGGAGAAAGCCTGCAAGAATCCTAGAAATACCTGTACACCTGTGTAGGGGACTATAGTACGATACGTTAATGCATGACTTCCATCTTGTGCAGTGCATGCCGCAGCATCCTTCCCGTTGGACTTGCATCCCGCAAAAGAAACAAACGGAAACCACACCTTTGCCGAACAGCTCGTGCAAGTAACAAGTTGCAGACCCTGCCCTTCTTCGAACCTCAACTTTTACAGTAAGCAAGACCTTTTACCAAGAGATCATCCCAAGCCAAACTGAATCTCAACGACACAATGAATCACAGCAAGGGGTGAAATGAAAACGTTGGTGTTGGCCCGCTCTAAGGTTAGGGCACTAGTGGGTGAAATACCTCAGTAAGAAACATCAGGGCTTGCGGACTGGGACAAAAGTAATATGGGCAAACCTTTACCTGATTGACACTTTCAATGATGTGGCAAGCATTTCTAGCAGCAAAGTGTAGGGATCTGGCTCCACACGCCCCGCACTTTTTACAGCGAAACCCTCTGCAAGGGTCAACGCCAACCTGACAGATTCCATGTCAACAAACATCAAACACTCAAATAAAGTAAAGAAAAACATGATTACTTTGTAATAACAGGACACAAAAGAGGCGGACTTACCATCAGTGCCTTCTTTTTGTCCTTCCATTATCTTCCATTATACATGCATCCAAAAATGCAACAACCCTGTACTCAGTAGTCTCTCACCTCGTCCGGTGGTATTGGTGCACACCTCTCGCAAGTGCAATCAAACTGCTTGGTGCTCTTCAATGACCTCCAGGTGGCAGAAACAAATGTGGAGTGAAAACTATACTGTACCAATCAGACATGCTCAGCATCGCCTAGATTAGTCCTGAAGAAATTGATAGCAGGTTGCAAGAAACCCCGCTTGCGAAAACATGTGCGTCGAATTTGTCAAAGCTTTGCTTTCCAAAATTGCACAACCAACCACACTGTGTCCATGTAGAGAGCTTCGGGCTACTAGTGACACCAAAGGTTCACTGCCACCACGATTGAATGTTCCTAATTATGGACTTCAATTGCAGTGATGCGGCAGTTCCCCAAAATCAATGCTTGAGGAACTTGGCAGAGAGATTGGCTCCCGCCACCAAAGTGAGTCAAGAAACTTCTTCCGCTCTTCTGCGGAATGGAGTAGGACATCCTCTGGGAGGTATGAGATACAAACCTGGACAGCTTGTGAAAAGGCCAGTGACTGCAGTAGTAGTTTTCTTGAGGCCAACGCCTCATCGCCCGGCTTTATATCCCTTCTAGCCTGGCAAGAGGTGCACAGAAATTTACGTCCATCACCTCACTTGACCATGCCAGCAGGACCCTGAGAATGTGAAGGCCATCCTCACCCTCGCTCCAAATGCCATTCCTCGAAGTAGTCTGTGCACTTCGCAGCACGACAACCACAAAATGGACTGGTTACTAGTTGGTATCCAAGGCTCGCCCCGCAAGAGTGTGAAACAAACGATGATGCAAAATAGGCAGAATATCCCAAGGGATCCTCTGAGTGCTCAAAGCCTCAGGATACTACAAAGTCCAAAACAGTCATCAGTGTGGACAATCAAAAACTTAGCTCTGGTTCAGCCAGGCCACAGTTTAGAATCCAAGCCTCAAATAGGACTTGGGACAATCAATGGGGTGGTAATGATTCAACGACTGCAACCATTAGATTACACAATATGGATTCTCAATGATATTCCCCTCTGGGCTTCTCAAAGTCACAAATCGAACACAAACCAACTAAATGTTCTCCAAGCTCAGAGAAGCTGCTTGAAGGAGTTCCTCCACCACTATCGGAGACACAGAAAGGCCTAGCTGCTTCACCAGTTTCTTGACAGCTTCGGAAGCCTGGCGTCAAAGCGGGAACTATCAGTGTTCAAGCTAACAGTCCAAACCAAGAAGAATGCAAGGGCTTCCTCCTCAACTGGCTCATGAAACAGGCACAGCAAGCGCTTCTGCCTTGGACAGTCCAGAGTCGAAACATGCAAAAGCGTCAGTCATTGACCGTGAAGCGTCGATCTGCTTCCGAGAATGGCCCTAATTGGTAGTTCAATACATGCCCGCCACTGAGATTGCCTTTTGGAAAGTCCTCGGGCCCTCCAGACTGGCGTGTCCATCAATGATCGATACAAAAGGGGCAGAAACTTAATGACACAACCTGTGGTGGCCACCCTGCAGCGTCGTGAGATGCCGTGAGGCACGCACAATGATTTTTTGCTATGGCCCCTGCTCCAAAAGTAAACATTTCAAAGAAACCCAGTGACATGGCCAGAGCAGCAGGATCTGTGGTGCCTCCCACTGCTCTGCCTGCTTATGATGAGGTGGCGCACAACGCACACTTTAAGATTTCTTGTTGCCACGCGATGCAGTGACCTTTGACAATCCATGACAATCCAACCTGTGTGCATGTGTGTGTTTGTGTGTACTCACGGCTTGTACAGTATACATGCACGTCGTTGTGCTCGAGGTGGCTTGCCAAGGCCGATTGTCATGATAGTTGATGACTACCCTGGGCCGCGGACAGTTTGGAAAGAGCGAGCCTAACTCTGGAAGAAAAACACATCAATTGCAAGCAAGTCTCTGGAGCGGGGTAACTGGCTTGAGCCATCCAACTTTGGGCTTCGGCTGAAGTTGCTCCTATCCAGTTGGGCAGCTCAAGACAATGTCTTTCATTCCTAATCAAGGTCGCGTAGAATTTTTTAATACAGTAGTAAATGTCGACGCCTCCGTCAAGGAACACAAAGCTGTCCAATACCACAAAGGCTCATAGTCAAACACTGTCGGCTCCTTAGCTTATTCTCCCTACAGTCATCAGCACTCAATGATTTCAGCACGCGAAGTCTTCAGCCAAGAGACAGCCTTGCAGAGTCGTTGAACAAGCTTGAATGCCTCCAACACTCACTCAGAACGCTACTAGGAGCAAAGGGCATCTCTACTAGGAGCAAGGACGCCACTAGGGGCTCCTGGCCTTTCTACTAGGAACAAGAACGCTACTAGGAGCAAGCCAAGGAAAAAGATGTCAGAGCTGGGAGGTCGCAGCCCAAGCTACCTCGTTTGCTGCTTCTTCGGCGACAATATGCAAAGGGGGCTCCTTTGGGAGCTGGGTGCCGAGCTGTGCTAGTTGAGTTCACTGCAGAAGCCTTTTCATTGCAGTGTTCACCCTCGCGCTCCTGGAAGAGCAGCTCACCTTGAGGAACTTCCTTCTTTGCAATCATGATCCTGCCAAGGAAAACCAATCCTATTTACATTTAATCACTGTCACTATGTCAAAACTCTCTCAGGATCTCTTTAGATCACCATTCCCAAATCATACAACTTACAACCACATCACTCCGTAAACATGGACAGTCAGAATCCCTGTGTCATGTCCTGCCCTTGCCCTCTGCAAGGGTGCATTCGAAGTCTCCATGAAAGTGCTCACGACAGTATTGATTGATCGTGTCCTTGGATTTGAGCTTCATGCTTCACTCGTCGCCGATCACTCAGCAAAACAGAAATGAGAGTGGAATAACAAGTTTGTCATGGATGCAGAGATGGCGCTATGTCCCAGTCTTCCATCCCAGCACTTTGGCTTATGCCACCCACTTTTGTCGGTGCTGATGCCTGACAAGGATCAAGTCTGTTGGAACGGACCCCTTTACAGTGTACGTGCATTAGATGCCCCTGCATAATTTTTTGCATGTACAACCATCTGTCAGCCATCGATGAGGCCCTTATTTTAGCCTTTGCTTCGCTTCTTTTCATTGTATTTTATGTGTCTTCTTGTTGGTTGCATCGGCATCTCCAATCATCTGATGCAAACGAGCCACTTCGCCCGGTCTGCCCAAGCCAACGCGACTTGAGCCAGCTTTCTGCGGGCAAGTCCGGCAGTTTCTGCATTGGCATGAAAAAGACACCCTGCATTGCCCCAGCTGCAGCATGTCACGTATCAGGTGCATGACTCAGGCAGTGGCCGTGTGACCACTGCAACGATCAAAATAAGGCCAGCCAGGCTAAACATTGCGGCTGAGGCTGCTACCCGCTCGTGACATATATGCAGTATATGTATATATGTATATATACTTAAATTAAATATACAAACAAACATGTGGGAACTGTAGTTGCCCAAAGGGTGTGAGGATCTGGATGCGTTTCTTTTCAGCATTGCGCTCATGTGTGCAATTGATTTTCAAAAGCCTTAATGAGGTGTAGGCAGTGTAGGCCCTTCTTCTCTTGACGATGGGGCAGGGCAGGCCACATGCCAAACTAGGTGAGGACAACACACACAATACTGTATACACAATTATAAACGATTATGCATTTGGATCCACCCTGCGCCCAGAACTGCCAAAACATCCCAATCAAGAAAGATCCAACAAGAAGTAAAGTCTCAGAAGGGCATACACAACATTACATATATAGTCATATATAATTATCCGCTAGATGCCGCCGCTAGCCGAATTGATTGCATCAAACAAATCGCAAAGGAGCCAAGACCACCTCTGAAAATCCGAGTTTTGTAGCAAACCGCCGACGCAGGCTTTTTCTTTTTCTCTCTCTCTCCCTCTCTCTCTCTCTCTCTCTCTCTCTACACGGCCAAAAAGTCACCTCCTGGACCATCTGCTGCTGCGAAGCATTCCACAAGTCCTACGAGCACATCGCTCAAACAAAGGTCGCCGGACAAGCAAACAACAGTGCCAAAGAGCATGTTGCTTGTTCACTGTTTCGCAAGTGGTTGGTGCAACATGCATGAATGACCCAGCATAGTATCAGCCAAGTCTCGTCATGTGTCTTGCCACCCTCCAGTTCCTTGAGTGACCCCAACAAAGTGGCTTCAAAAACAGCCAAAGCAAGTCAGCCTCCATGGTGTACAGGTGCTCGCGCTTGTCTTTCGCATGGTCCTGCAATAATTGGGAATAATGCTCGCCATCTCCATGCTGATCCACTCCGAAGGATTTCCCTCTCTCTCTCTCTCTCGTGCTAGGTTTAACGGCTTAGCTGCTCGGGTAGCCTTCAGAGTCTGCTGCGCCCAAGCCGCAGCTCCTTCCAGGCTGTCATACTTATCCTTGGACAAACCCCCACAAAAGTCAAAGTGGCTGCACACTGCCAGAAACTACCAATGGGTGCATTACCGGGTACCAGTGCCACGAGTACCTCATCTTATCTGCCAAGGCTCGTTGTAGAAACAGAAGTTGTCCGACCTCAGGGATGCCAACTCTGGAGTCCAACAATCAGGACGTGCACATTAGATCCTACACAAGGCTCTCAAGATTGAGAAGTCGGTGCACCAGCTGATCAAGCGCCAGGCAGCTCGCGTCTAACAACTGATTCTTCTATAAAGGCCTCACCTGGATGCACCCACCCGCCATGAAAGCGCCAATCGTGTACCATGTGCGCTGAGCTGGGTTTCGGGCAACCTTTCTGAACACTTGAAGAAGCTCCTTTGGCTTCTCCAACTTTACGTACCTTACATGCCTCGTGCAACAAAGCTGTTTGAAACAGGAAGACGGCGATCGAGTGTTGGGAACGTACACGCGCTGTCGAAAACCGGAGGGCTGAGGAAAGGAAGCAAAAAACAAGTGGATGCATATTATATAAGAGCATTCATGGAACAGAACTTAAGTTCAAAAGAGACTATGGCCAGCACTTCTGGCACATTCTTTGCATATGCATGCATGCATATGCCACCTACGTGGTACAACGACCCACACACACTTAGGATAGGGTGTACTGAACTGAAAGCGGTGCCACACGCCGGCCTAGGGTTCCATTTCCTAAGGGTACACGTACGAACCACTGGATCCTGGAGGTCTTCAAG